AGAAACCCCGGACATGGTACCCCCCCCCCCCCCACGTCGTCGTTCGTTGCGCCGTTCAAACATTGGAACGGCGTGAACCAGGCGAAAACAAAACGCGACAAAACACACAACAACATCAGCGTAGGAGCGGTGGGTAGCGGGCGCATGGGAGAACATAGGACACTTGAGAGCCTTTGCCTGCATACCGGGAAACAGGGCTTCGAGCCTGCGCAGGATAGTGGACGGTACCAGGTTTCTCACACTAGACTGAAAAACCAAAACAGCGTTAGTGGCGGTGAAACATCTTGCGCCGAGTACAACGCCTATCCTCTCGGGACAACACTAGAGCGAGGCAGACAGAGAAGACAGGGTCAGCGCAAGGCTTGTAGCCCATCACTCGTACGAAAACAAACAAGCAAGGAACAAAGACTAGCTGCGCACGCAAACACCCGTTGTGGAACAAAACAAGCGCTCGCGAGCCTAAATTTGTGCGCGCTGGATATCGATGTTAGGAGCAGCGACCGGAACAATTGTTAACGTGAAGACAACAACAACAACAAACAACTACCCCAACAACCGGCACGCCTCATTTCGCCCGCGCGTCTCGTCTCACTTGAGGCGACAGGAAGTCCTCGTCGTTCACGCAGATGCCGAGCTGCTTGGCCGCCTCCTCCCACTGCCCCTCCGTCTCCAGGTAATCCACGTAGTCCTCACGGTGAGCGGGGTCGAACATCAGGTAGCGCCTGTTTCATTTACGACGACGCGCGAAACAGGCAAAAGCGCAAACAATGTGTGCCGGCCGGGAAGCGGCATGCGGCAAACGAAGGAGGGAGCAAGGAAGAAAAAATCTCATGCATAGCAACAACAACAATCACAACACCGAACCACACCACGACACGTCATCGAGGTTCTACGCGAATGGCACGATCGCTTCCTTTCATTTCCCCGCCAAATGTTCCGTCCCATCCTGCTGCTGTCCCACCTGAAAACGCGAACCGCCGTCTCCCTCACGCCGAACCCCTTGGCCCATTCCAAATACGGCGGCCAGATCTTAAGGTAGTCGTAGTCATGGTGGTAGTTGTGGTTTTCGTGCCAGTCCGAAGCAAGTCCCAACAAACGACCGCACGGTTGTTTCGGTCATCGTTCCGGGGAAGCCATGTGAAGGCGGCGGCGCCACGCGCACCGGGGGGGGGGGCAGGGGGGCAGGGGGGGGGGGACCTCCAATCCCTTCCACATATATC